TCATTTTTTATCTATTTTTATAGTTTTATATAACAACCCGTCATGGTTTCTACATTATTGGAATCACCCTACCAGATAGTTTAACTAAGAGAGGGATTATTTACTGGATAACAATATAAACATGCATTTGAATAATAAAAATAAAAATCACATTTATATGAATAAATATAAATACGATATATATACAGTCATCCAAAAGGAATAACACTCTCCTAGTGTCGGTCAAGCACATCTTACTAGTTACCCGAAATGGTAACTCTGACACTAGGACAAAAACTCCAGCATCTAGCAGTAGCCTGCTCCATCGTAACCCTTACATGCTCTCATACATAGTACGATCATCGTAGTCCGTCCACATGGAAACAAAAAGGTAAGCAGTAACGACCCGACTGGTTACTACACACAACACGGTACACCTGAAAACCGGACAGAAAGGAGCAAGTGTATACATATAGTGTCTAGAATATACATATATACATGGTTCAAGTCTGACTAGATTCAAAATGTACAAAAATACATCAAAAGCTACTACACCAAGTAGCTGAAACAACAAAACATCATTAAGGATCAGCTCCGCCTGCTAGCTGCGGACTCACCACTAGCCACCTACCTATCCCTGCTCTACTCCCATACATAGTATGATCATCGCAGTCCAAACTACATGGAAACAACAAAGGGTAAGCTAGTGAAAAGAATCAACATATAAACATATACATGAAATATGAACAACTACAACTTATCAGCACAACACCAATATACACCTCATCAACTATACAGCGTAAACAGCAATAAGCACACAATGCGTCGTCACGCATATCATCTCGGAGATCTCTTACAACAACTCAGCCTTACGGCCTACAACAACTCAGCCTGACGACCTACAACAACTCAGCCTTACGGCCTACAACAACTCAGCCTTACGGCCTGCAACAACTCAGCCTTACGGCCTACAACAACTCAGCCTTACGACCTACAACAACTCAGCCTTACGGCCTACAACAGTTTATATCAGCATCCAACACAGCACATCTTACAACATGCAGCAACAACAGCTTACAGCACGGCACAACTCATCAATATACATCTGATACGGCTCAGCTCAGCAATAAACATCTAGTACAGCTCAACATCACACTTCTACATCCTCAACTAAAATCAACACAACATATCATCTTACGGCACATCTAAACGTCTTACAGCAATATACATCTAACACAGCTCAACATCATCAAACAACATTTTCAGCTAGTCACCACATCATATTCATCAATTTTGGCTCATACTCAGCATAAAACAACCTTTAACAGCATTTAGTAAAATCTCATCTCCGCGCCCGGCGCACTCATGGTTGCGCCCAGCGCGGTACAACCAGAGAGCACCAGGGGGCAGCGCACCGGGCGCAGGCGTCCCCGTGCCCAGCAGGACCCAACCAGAGAGCCCAAGGCTCACACGCGCCTGGCGCAATACCAATTGCGCCCAACGCATCCCAGGCAGAGACTTCATGGAGTCTCACGCGCCTAGCGTGCCTAAACCCGCATCCAGCGCGGGGAAGACAGAGACCTCCCCAAGGTCTCGCGCCTAGCGCAATTCAAATTGCGCCTAGCGCCCTCAAGGCAGAGACTCCCAACGAGTCTCACGCCCAGTGCGACAAGGGTCGCACTCAGCGCAGAATCAAAAAGCCCAAAACAGGTTACAACTGGTATCGCGACCAGCGCGGTCCAAGTCACGCCCAGGGCGGACCAACCAGAGACTCACATTCTCAAGCGCGCTCGGCGCACCCATCATTGCGCCCGGCGGCTTGCCTAAATGGAGTCCCCTGGTGGCCACGTTCGAAAGTTCACCAAGTTCGAAAGTTTGCCCAAAACCTGCAAAACCCCACAGAAAATCCACATGCAAACGGTTCAAAGTACCACATTTTCGTCCAGCAGCTCAAAAATACCACCTTTTTGTACATGCAACCACAAATCAAGAATTTCCCCAAAATTTTTTGAAAACTCCGAAAAACCCCCAAACAAAAAATCTTGGAAAAAATCACAGCCGCAACTTCTCAATTCTCAGTAAACAAATGAGTTTCTTCACTCATCTTCAGCCAAACCACAAAAAATCTAACTTCCCTTACCTCGGTTCAAGGATTTTGAGCCTCGGGATCGCGGAGAACAAAAGAGAAGACGAAGAAGGGCTTGAATGAACTGGAAAGGAGAAGAGAGAAGTCCGACACCAGCTAGCAATCAAATTTTTACTCAGCCCCACCACCTTGTACCAGCCACAAGAAAGATCCAAGGGAGAAGAGTGAAAAATTTGAGAGTGAGACAAGAGTGGGTATAGAGAAATGAGAGTTAGAGTGAATTAGTGGGTGAGGGTGAAAATGGGAAAAAGAAAGGTGGGGGTCTCACATAAGCTAGAATTCTTTAAATAACCATACAAGCATAGGAATAAGCATCTATGCTATACCATCATCAAAATCATCAATCATTTTCATAGAGTAAAAAAAATGCACTCCATCATGCAATAATCATGCAATAAATGCAACTCATGAAAGATATCAATACATATCAATCATCTATTACGTCGTCACGCATTCACCTAGAAGATCTCCCTAACAACAAAACAGTATAAATGACATCTCATCCTACTGAAATCACCCTGACTGCTTTTATGCCGAAGCACCTTATTGGGTCAACAACAAATCGGGATATCAAATTCCCTATGTGTCTACTCCGATAGTGTCATTTACACAATTGGAAATCCGGTTTCACCGTTAGGTATAGCACAACTAGGTGCAGGCTTACCACAATCTTGACATGAATTACCAAGTTACTTGTGGAGTTTGCCCACCAACTATCCGTAAGGAACCACACACTTTCCCCAGTAATTGGTTAAGGATATAACCCTCGACCTTATACCCCACTCCAACACTAGCTAAGAACTTAGAGGAGACTCATCCAACCTAGTGGCCTATCCAAGCATCACTCTCACCCAAAATCAGTGGCCTATCTAAGCACCACTCAAGAGACTCTACGTGAGCTCTTAAATTTCAAAAATATTTTCCCTCTCGTTAGTTCTATGCTAGACACATGCCATAAAACACCACATGCAAACAATGCACCATACATCATTCATGGTCAATCCACCATCATGATCAATATCAACGATATAGGAACATACATACATCTCAATTCATTTTTAAAACATTCATACATATGTGGCTAAGCATACATATGAATCATAAATCACCAACCATCATATACCATACATATATGACCAACATTAAATACCAACACATGCAAAAATGTTATAACTCAGCCACAACAATAGAAGATAATTCATGCCCGGTGTAACTTTACTCGTGCCCGGCCTAAGCTCATCTCGAGAACTCCAGGACTCTTCCATGCCTGACGTTAGTCTGGCAAAGACTATTTTAAAGAATTATGCCTGGCATAATTCACTTTGCGCCCGGCTTCACGAAGTCAGAGACTTCCAAGGCTTCCATGCCCGACGTAATCATTCTTACGCCCGATGCCATATCATTAAGATTCCACTCATGCTACTTCTTAATATCACGTCCGACATGACTTCATCCACAGCTGACGTAGTTCATCCAAAGACTCCAATTTACATTCACGTTCGGCATGAACAAAAAATGGTTATCCCTGATGAATACACGTCCGACGCCATGAATACACGCCCGACGCATATTCAACCAACAACATTCCAAACTCAAAAATTTGCCCAAAACCCGCAAACTCAAGCAATCTAACAATATGCAAACCATCCAAGACAACAACCAAACTCCATACAATTCAAAAACACGCTTAGATTCAACATGCACCTAACTGATGCATCAAAATCACCAAAAACTCCATTTTGGCCCAAAACCTCATTTTGGCCCAAAACCTCATTTTGGCCCAAAACCTCAAAAATGAGAAAAAATAATATCTCAATTCAATAGTTAAATTCCCAAACTCATACACTAATAGAGTTTCTAAACTCACATGTAACCCAACAACCTACATTCTAACTTTACTCACCTGAATCTGACTTAAAACAACCAAGAAGAGGAAGAATGAGAAGAAACTCCAAGAAGGCGGCCCGACAACTTTAATCTCCAAAAATCTCAGCTTTTTAGCCTGAATTTTAAGAAATGACATAAGAGATTAGTAATTTATGAGAAGAAAGGAATCAAACAGAGAAGTTTGGGAGAAAAAGGAGCTCGCAATCCTAGAGTCATCTTATCTAGAACTTGTCTCTAGATTTCTTTGAAAAAAGAACTTATGAGGCTTTATTCTCTAAAAAAATCTTATATACATTTCTCCTTAAGAATAACTAAACTCTAAACAGCTTATCTAGCACTGTGTTATATTTTACATGTATAATAATTAACATTTAGTGTTATTTATACATTTAAAACTATAGAAGTAGATAAAAAAAATGGAGAGGATGTTAATTCACTTTAATTGATTAGAAGAAAAATAAATATAATATTTATTAAGAGAGAAAAATGATATATGAGATGCACTTTAAATTTTTAGAAGATATATAAGTATTAATTAAGAAAAAAATAATAAAAAAATAATTTTGAAAAAATAATTAAATAAAAAATTATTATTATCAACTAAATTAATTATTTTTCTTAATATCAATAATTAAGTAATTGATATTATGTATAAAAACAGAAGTAGTATATAATAAAATTAAAAAATTTTAAGATGAGATTTTATTATTTAAGCTTTTAATATTTTTTCCATTTTAGGAAAATCTCTTTCCTTAATAATATTCATATTTATTAGAAAATTAAAGTATAATTTACTTTATTTTAAAAAAAATTGAATGCATTTTTTCTCATCTTCTCATGATCCTCGAATTCAACCCAAACGCACACCGTGACGCCCTCGTAAAAGCACGAGTGATTAAAGGGAAACGGAAAGCGACCATGACACGTGGACGGTGGAGATCTCACGTTCTCTCTCCTCAGCCCCGTTATAAATTGGACCACACTTCTTTCATGTAAACTCGTTCCAGTTAGTGTTGTAACTTGTGATCATCACTGTTACGTCATTTTCGTAGTTTGTGTGTGTTTGCATCTGAAAATGTCTTGCTGCGGTGGTAACTGTGGCTGCGGAAGTAGCTGCAACTGTGCCAACGGCTGTGGAGGGTAATGTTTTTTCTTTTTTTCATCTTCACTTTGGGTATTTGTTCTGGTTTGTTTAAAATTATTTATTTATTTTTTATTTTGGAAAAGTTTGCTTTTGGAATTTGGATCGGCTTTTTGAGTACCCTTTTGGCTGAATTGCATGGCATTCAGTTTTTTTTTTTTTTTTTTTTTTTTTTTTTTGTGGTTTTTTTTTTTTTTTTTTTTTTGTGGTTTTTTTTTTTTTTTTTTTTTTGTGGTTTTTTTTTTTTTTTTTTTTTTGTGGTTTTTTTTTTTTTTTTTTTTTTGTGGTTTTTTTTTTTTTTTTTTTTTTGTGGTTTTTTTTTTTTTTTTTTTTTTGCTGTTCAGTGGTTTGATTTTGATCTCTTTTTATGGACCTGTTTGCTTTGAGAGTCCTTTTGTGGGCATTTTTTTTTTTTTTTTTAATTTTGAATTAGCTTTCTGGATACCCTCTTGGCTGAATGTATAAAAAATATTCTTTTTTCCTTTCCTTTGTTTAGCTTGCATGATCCTTAGGAAATTTCCTGAGATGTTAATTTTATTTTGAGTTTCAAGGAAAAAATTTTCTGTGCATGAAGGGCATGTGTGGTTTGGGGGGTAGATATAAAAAAAGTTAAATGTGGATTAAAATAAAAATAAAAAGAAAATTTGTAATTGTAATTCTTAGAAAGAAGGAGATCATATAGTTTCCTAGGTGAGTTCTTGCTCATATCTCATTAAAATTAAACCTAAAGTTTTACTTCAATATTATCAACAATGTGTATTAATGAGATCTAAAACCGCTTCATTTTACTCTGCATGACATTTAGGATAATACTTTGTTGTTAAATTTCTAGCAAAAATTTTCAGTCACTAACTACCAATTATTATTTTATAGTTTCATGAAGATATCTGGTTTGATTAATGATGCAGGTGCAAGATGTACCCTGACTTGAGCTATGCAGAGAAGACAGCCATAGAGACTCTGGTTTTAGGCCTTGCACCAGTGAAGGCCCACATCGAAGGTGGCGAAACGGGTGTTGCAGCTGAGAACGGTGGTTGCAAGTGTGGATCAAGCTGCACCTGCGACCCTTGCAACTGTAAGTGAGGTGCAGATGAAAGGTTGAAGCAGAGATGGTTCTTAATTAGTAGCAGAAATAATAATAATAATGATAACAATAGCTGTGTATATATATATGCACACACTGTTATAATAAGACTGTGTCTGTGTCTTTGTGGTCTTGTGTTTGAAGCAAAGTTTTAGAATAAAGTGGCCATGGCTAATGACTTGCCTTCAGCAAATTCCATTAGTGTTCAATGGCTGCTTTGTTATCTGTTTGGGTTGGTTTGTTTTGTGTAAAGTGTTGGCTTATTGGAATCCTCACTCTCTGCTTATTAATGGAAAGAGGTCTTTATTTGTCTTTCTCTATGTTGAATGAAAGCATTTTTATTTTATTTTTTCTGGTTTTTAAAAAAATGAAAAGTAAACAATGAAAATTAAACCAAAAATTGAAAATGAAATTATTGTACAAAATTTTGAAAATAAGAAAAGTAAATGGAAAATAATTCTCACAAAAAAAAATAGAAATTGTTTTAAGGTATTTGTCTTTTTAACTTTATTTATTACTTTTTTTGTAAAATTAGATAAAGCTAATTTTGTAACATTTTGAGGATTGTAAAAATCCAAAACTGACAGAATTCTAAATAGACAACAATTTTGGAAGAGGGGATATTAAAAATGAAGATAAAATATAAATCTTGTATATTCACAAAATAAATAAATAAATCTTGTAAAAAATTTCTGGTTTTTTTATCATTACTATTATTTAATTATTTAATCGGATAATGGTACATGTAGAATAAAAATTATATAATAATTTGTACCAAATTTATTTATTTATTTATTTTTTCCATCTTTAATGAATATTTCACTTCAAAATAAATACAATGATTGAGAAAAATATACTTAAAAGATGTTAAAGCTACATGCAGATGTTTTTGTCTATTAACCAAATGGACAGGTGAATGACGTTGTAAGTGAAAAAAGAGTGAATTATTTAAGACCCATATATTTTTATTATTAGACATGGTTACAATTAATGGACCCCTTCTTAGTTCTAAATTTGCCTTGGTAAGGTGATCAATATTTTCTTCTTCTTCTTTTTTTCCCTTTTATTATTGCTTCCTTGCTGACATGTATTTTATAGACTCAAATCAAAATTATGAATTTTCACTTTCATATTTTATTTTTTCTCTTTCAATTATTGTTGACAGGGACACTGCCATATGCTAACAGTATCCACACGGGGTAACTTTTAATTTCTTATTTTCTTTTCTGAAACGATTTTAGTCTTTGGAGTCTTCCACTCAATCTTTTTGGACCCATGAAAAATAAAATTGTTTACCATATTTCTTTCACATGGAAAAGAGAAGAGAATAATGATGTTTTTTATTTATAAAAATTATGATAATCTATACCTTTAGATTATTATATATTATATACAGGAATAAATATCATGTAACTATTTATTACTGTACAAAATTTATCACAGTGATAATTCTATAATAATACAATCTTTGTCACCAAGAATTATTTTTATTTATGTTATAAATATAAAATATGTTGATATATTGTTAAAAAGCGTAAATATATGTTATATTATAAATTATATTATTAAATTTTATTCAAAATCAATTATTAAATTATATGTAATTATATATCAAATAAATTTATATATACATATATTATATTTATAATAAAATTTATTATAATATACTCTCATTTTGAAATCATTTATGGTTTGTTTCTCTTAGAAATAATTTGCTATTTTCTTCCATCCAATGGCTTACCGGATTATAGAAAGCATGCATATGATTTTAGGAAAGACTTCTATTATTAAAAAAAATAGAAAAATCAATAATTATTTTTAGTAATTATTCACTGTCCTATTTTTATTACTTAACTATTTTTATTATTTAATAAAATTTTTATTTTATTTTAATTTCTCAAATAAAATATAGAAACATATATTGTTTCAACTCTACCAGTAATTATAGTAAAGATGATAAACCTTTTTCATGTATATATTTTGATTCTAATTTTATCGTTAAACTACTTCATAAATTATAAACAACTCACATATTTTAAATAACCAATGTTTTAAAATCGAATTGGTCATCAAATTAATTAAGGAATTAGATCAATGAGTTAAAAGGTCAAATCGAAGGATCACTAATTGAATTGCATTATTCAATTTTTATTAATTTTTTTAAAATAAATATTCATGTCATATATTATATATATGAATTTCAATATAATTTATATCATACCTTAAAAAAATTTCTAAAAAAACTATTATAATAATAATAATAATAAAATAACCAAATTATAGATTTCTTGAACTGTATAAATTAATATATAATTTTAAATTTAAAAAAATATTATATAAATTATTTAAGTCAATTGTATAACAATA